ACATCCGCAGATTTGTACACTAAATGAACAAAAAGATGAATGCCACAAAATACTTTTAGCAATGTTAAATGTGTCAAGATTATTTGAACAGTAACGCAAGCTGGCTGCTTCTGCTTTGGTCTGGTCGCAGCTGCCGCGGTTGTTGGGAGGAGAACTCGACTCAACCGCTCAGCTTTATTCCAAACACTCAAATGACACATACAGACGGAGCGCGGGCCTTTTAATAGCGGTCTCGAGGGGCGGTACCAGCGATTGGCGGGAACGTCGCTGTGATTGGTCGTTCCTCCGTCACTGGCGAGCGGCTCCAGGTTATCGATCGACTAGGGGCTGTAGTGGTTGTAAGAGGATCTATAGCTATAACAACAACAACATAAGATAAGCAACAACAAACAAACAGACATAGAACACAATTTTTCTTGGGAACATAACAGAACATATTATAGTGGGATCTCGTGGAAAAAGACGAATAGTGTCAAAGAAATGAGATTTCAGTCACATTCTGTAAAGGATTTTCTGGTCGATTGAACAGAGATTTTACCCACCTCTCTCCATTGCTATAGGCATCTAGCAAGCGATTATCAGCTGACAACCCTTATGGGCTGCCGTCGGCGTGAATGCTTTGAGGGCCTCATCAGTAGTTTTTTGCTTCCTTTTCATTTTCAGTCAACTCGGTATTACCGAGGGTATAAGTTATTAGGATCGTCGTCAGTGGGCATGTGGGCGTAGAGCGGGTTTGTGAGCTCGGCGGCGGAGTCCTGCCATACATGGCATGCTCTGCGGGCTTAGCACCTTCCAATTACTGCTTGGTTCGACTCCGGGAATTTACTTCGATCACTGGAACTTCGATATCTAGCTGGGCTCAAACCCTGTATCCATGTCTCTACTAGCAGTCCCGTATTCAGCAGAAGGCATTTAGCAGGCTTTACCCGCTTCTGCCTTAGAGGCACTACCCATGTAAATTGAGGTTCCCTTCGGTCATTAGAATAGACCACCAAAAGACAATCACACGTGTGGCAATTGTGCATACAACTCACACGAAAAGTCGCTAGAGCTTTAGAGCGCTAGACATAGATGCAGCGGCGCTCTCTCATCTCTGACCCTCCTCTCTGCGCCCAGTCTCTCATTTCCCTGAAACGGCCCATGCGAAAGCCTAGAAGCCATTCAGTAGGCGTTTCTCGCCAATTTCCTTTTTTTACTGCTAGCTTGCACCAGGCTTTTCTCTTGCAAGGACCACAATTTTTTGATCTTGGGGTGCTCTGTTTCAAATAAACAAGCATTATTTGGAAAGGGAATTTATTAGGTATTCGAAAAGTGGTGACTCTGCAACGTTATGTGCAACCCAGCAATCACTCCATAAATGTCTATAGTGCACAGGATGGAGTTAATCCCGTCAAACTTGCTATTCTCATCGAATCCTTGGTGGTGCTTTTCGCTATGTCTGAAGGAGAAGGAATTGAGTGCTCATACAAGGAGGATGCATAAGCAATTACTCGTCCTATTATCTATTCAGGTAACGTCAAGCTTCCAACTGTGAATTTTATATGTACTAGTTGTTTGTATGTATACTACCCTAATGGGCTCAGAAGTACTTTTTAGGCTATTTGTCCTACTATTTGCATGTACATACCACTTGTGTGCATGTACGCTATGTACTTCAGTGGCATCCGAACTACTATTGCGCTGGGCTATGCTATTGGAGTCGCCATGGCTCTGAACCCATTTTTTGGAGCAATTATTACCATAATGTGTATTCATGATTATAGAAAATTTTTACTGATGGCTTTGCACATTGCTAAATGATCGGAGACACACCCCTCACCTGCTGGCATAAAAGGAACCGTACGGGTTATCTGAATGTGTGCTTACCTCAGCGCGCAGCTGCCTCCTATCCAGGCAGGGTAAGCCTAGCCCTGGTACTGTTTCAAAAACTTGAGGACCCCTTACCCCTCTGGTGGTCTCGGTACGATCCTCCCACCACCACCATCAGCCTTAGGGGTTTCCCCAGTACGTTCCCGCCTCTTCGAATCGACCAACACCCTCACCCCTTGGCTGTTTTTATAGTATTTGACTCTGAGACCAGTCGACACACCCCAACTCCACCCCCATCTTTCCACCGAAACGAAACGATCGTCGAGTGAAAGCAGAGAGGTAGACTTATGAGGGTTTTGTCAAAATTGTCAAAAAAGCGGTGAAAGGCGGCTCCTCTTTCAACCCCAGATACGAGCCTCGTTCAAATTGTCCGAACGGACGCTTGACCCTTGGAAGAGAGGGGAGAGAGGGGGGGGTGCGCACCTACCCTAGTCCATGCATCCATATGCACGTTGTACGGTCTCAGAGCTAATTTAACACGTTGACGACAGCGTGACGCGGTAACGCGTCCCACTTTGCGCACCTCGTGGGACATTGTGACGCGGTAACGCGTCCCACCCAAGTCATCCCTTTTTCTTGCGCTTGCGCGACTTATTCCTAAGGTCTTTGTACTCATTTATGGGGTCATTACGATGACCGAGTTATTCTTTAAGCGTCTCTTGTAGTATTCTTAAGCTAGAATTGATACTTTGAAATCAATGGCTCACAGGAAGGCCAATATTCTGCTGATTTACAGAGTGTTTCCAGATCTATACGGTATCAGCGTCTCCAACTTCATTTCCCGTTTTCTTTTCTTCAAGGTAATCATGTTGATAAAAATTATGAAGCGAATATCAACCTATTCGCATGAGAAGACGCGAGTTTTTACTGAAACGAGACCATGCCCAAATTATTTTTAAAACACTACTAAAGGGAAAGTTAAGTGAAGTATGCCTTCTCATTGGCTTTAACACGTCATTTCGGTTGAACTTCCATTACTGTAACTCCCGATAAGTTAGACAGATCGAACATTATTGAAAACACTTCATCGCATCTAAGTATTGCGTATTTACAGCTCAAAATCCATGGATTTGGTGTGCGGCGGCGGCGCTCGCAAAATCGCTCTTGTCCCACGCGGTGCAAAAACACAAAACGCGCGATGTCGTCAACGTGTTAAATTGATATACCCTGGAACGAAGCCGGCGTGCCCCATCTCCGATCGTAGTAGTCAGGCGTATAAGCGTTGATGTCGCTCCATGTTGCTGTTCAAAAGTGTGTGGAAAAGATGCTAGAAGCTCGATTGACCGCAATCCACACCTTGCGTCCGCAAGCCCCGCCTTCTACTGTCGGCTGCTATGTTCGCGATGCGAGAAGAAGGCAACCGCAGCTGCGGCAGCCTCAGCATTGCCGCTCAATGTCACTGACACTGGAGCAACTGGAGCCAGCCTTCGCAAAACTCGTCCGAGCACGCCCGGTCTTCTCGGTCTCAAGGTGGTATGCGGCTGAAAGAAAGAGGAGCCTAGTGAGGGTTTCTTTTGCTTGCCTTTTCTTTTCTTCTTCTCTTATTTCTTACTCTCACTACCTTCGGCTTCATTATTGACACATTTTATCCCGGGACCTTGCCTTCAATTCTTTCCAGAGGATCAGATCCACTCTAATTTGCTCGAATGACTTGAACGCTACTCGCACCACTATACAGCTTCCCCATAGTCCCCTGAATTTTCTCATGTTGTGTCAATAAAGTATTAAATTCAAGTGCGTGTAATCAACTTTGAAACGCAATTATTTATTTACGACTAGACATCTACAATCATACAACGTATTGTATGTGTACCGGAAGTTCATACACCGACCAGGGCAGTGATTTTCGGGGTCCATACATTTCCTGAAAGATTTTCGTTAAGCGTGGAAATCACAACATGGCGCTATCGCAACATACGGAGGCATCCTCTAGGTACTAAGCCTAGGAGGGACAGGAATTCCGGGGGAATGAAAATGGCTGACGCACCCTGAAGTCTCTCCTCCCCGCCTATCGCTTAGTTAAGCTTTTAACAAAACGAACATATTTTACGCATTTTAAATGCATTGCAACATTGCCCCCGTTTCTTGCGATAGCACCCACAAGATTGCTTAGGATGGCTCGCTCCAATAAGAACCCCTTAAATCGACAAACCTTATGAATGGATTGAATCCGCATACATGGGGAGCCAATGTGCCCGCGTTTGAGACTGGTACGGGTCCCCATTCGGGAACAACACCCGATCTGATATTCGCCTGGAAGAATTCACATTTAAAAGAAGATTTTGCGCGAGGATTTCTATAAATTTTCAAGGAGTGTTTCCAGCGCGCTTTTCATTTAATAGAAAGAGGAAAGGGATGACAACCATGAATTTCACTAGCGGAATGTTTCCGATAGGTTATTTGTTTGAAGGCACGGGTCGCGATCGAATTGTTGCGTCATTCTGCTAGAAAATTAGACAAGAAGTGCGAAGATGAATGTGAATGGGTGAAAAAGCAAAATTCCATAGAAAATACTGGGATACCCTTTGTAAGATCGACTGGTGTCGAGAGACACAGCGATGCGGGGAGAGGAAAAAGAAAACGACAGAGAATACGTCGTGCGCGTGATGACGCAGATGCTGTGACTGATGAAAATGGCA